ATAGAAGTTTTGGTAGGAATGGTTGAGTACCGAAGTTTTCAGGTGTCCGACCTCGAGGCTGATGTGAAAAGCCTGAAAGAAGAAGAAACGTTCGAAATTCCCAGATTTACAACAGCACGCTGAATTTGGAGTAGATTCACGAAGATACAACGATGCGGTGATGCACGAGATAAACAGGCCGCAACAAGCGGTATGCTCCGCTCTCCTGCTCAATGTGGCCGCTCGCGACCACACGCTTGGTTTTCAGTTATTGATCATGTTTTGAAGGCGAATGTTAGTTGAAATATGTAGTATAATTTCTTCGCAACACCTCTCTCTCGGTCGTTCATGGACGACGGCCAACTGTGGTTTTTTGAATGTTTTTCCCAGAAGATTTCTGTTTTTGTTACATTGACGGGTTTATAGAGGTAATTATACAGTAGGTGTTTTCAGTATCGTTCAGAGTCAGAACAGCTCAGTCACAGGTTGGCATAGTGGGTCGAGGTTGTTCGAATAGCCTCCTGGGTTGTTGCATTTAGACATTGCTACTGGGGAAACTTGGCGAAGCGCTCATCGTAATCTGGTGGGTTGCTCAAGGGTATAGATCAAAAGGGAATGACAATAGGAAAATAAAAAAATGTGGGTACCACGGATGATCCTAGAAGTGATGGGGTGCTATACATATGTGATGTATAGATCGTCATAGTACCAGAAGAGAGACGGGCCGTGCAGAGCAGCTCAAGAGGAGAACGTCTTCTTCAGAGGACGAGAGCTCCCACAAAGGGATAGGCCACGTGTCAGGGTCGAAAGGGTCGTGTAATTTCGCGGTTCCTATGGTAATCCTGTTATGAATGTTGCATCTGGACATAAGTTTCTAATTTATGTGATGAGGCAGACAATGATTAGGAAACCTACGTCAAGCCTATGTTCGGTAGCATCAGTTAGTCGCTGGTCGTTTTTCGACTGGACTTCAGCGCTGCCCAAAGAACCACTTCATTCGTTCTCTTTGGGATCACACGGGAGCGTTCAGACTCTGCGATGACGCGCGTAGACGTGCTGTAACGCATGTCGCGCGCCGCCATTGCAACAGCGCTCCAATAACGCTGCAAACAACACTCTGGTCGCTGAAACTGATGGGCCTTCTCTTTCTCTGAGACGAGAGGTTATTCGTACAAGAGATGACGTGAAGCAAACACTTGTTAGTTTCTTTCGACATTGCCAACGCTGTGCTGTCACCATTTCATATAAATTGCATACAATCTTCGGTTATAATAAAGTTTTTGAAGGCTTCCCAATATTCAATGTGGTAGATTGTGTAAGCTCATCACATAGTATACCGCAGAACCCGTGATTATGGTCTATAGTGATATTCGGGTATGTGACATGATAATAGTAATATGCCGCGTTGGTGGGCGTGGCGAGATGCGCCCGACAGTCGAGTTATACTGCTTAGCCATTTGAATTTATGCGTGGAAGAGACGAGAAAGTTCGATATCGCTTGTTATGGAGTCTTGTCTTTGGTTGGAAGTCCAAGAGTTTCGCTGCTCCAATCGACTTCCTGATACACACCGAGAACTCGCCGCGAGCCACGGCAGGAGCCCCACGCCCGCGACAACGCTACAAATTACGATTGTCTTGTTGATGCTCAAGAGTTCACGAGCGGTGCCATGTCATTAACTCAGCTAGAAAAATAGTTTTTTTACAGAA